AGGTGGTGATGAACAAGAATATTTTGATGAGTTTGTATGGGTGGCCTGCATGAATGGCGAAGATTAAGGCTAAATACTGCACTTCAGGTTGGTCACAAAAGAGCCATTTTCCCTGTGGCGCTGCATTTCAGAGGAGTTAATGTCATTATCATCACATAAGCATGAGTATTATTTAAGTTTAGTAAAAGTACTTCTTGAATATGAAATTCAAGTACTTTTTCCTCCTTTTCTTTTGAAAATGCTGAAACATTTATTGGATTGTACCAATAAAGTTGCAACCATCTCCTCATATTTAACACATTTCATTTATTCTCTCCATCGCTTGATCTAATTATAGAGAGCCATTAAAATGGCAAATTATATTAGCTTGAGATTCAGCCCTATCTCCAAGAAAAGACGTTCCCATATGCTGTGGTGGATTGCATTTTTTTATTTTTTTATGTATCACTAATAACTTTCAAATAAGTTCACGTAAATCTGCTTAAGAGGAGGTCAGGGTACTTACATAAACATAACCAAGTACTCTTGTTGGCTTAACCTAATGACATGTTTTTGTAGCGGTTTTTTTCTTAGATTTAACAACCTTCATCAAACTGTTTCAAACTGCGACCATAGTCCGGGAGAAAAAGTTTCTCTCGAAGAGTGTATTTAAGTTGTATGAGAACGTTATTTTATAGGAGTCAGGGTTGGGCGATTTTATTGCTTTTTTCTCCAAATGTGAGACACATATTTTGAATTCTAATGATCATCTGCTTCCTGTGCGTACTGAGCTCGGAATGACCTCAACTCCTGATTTTACACATGAGAATCAACTGTCGTCTGTATGACTTGTCGCTTGTGACGTGGGATGTTAAGACTATGGTTTAACTCATAAAGTGGTTTCAGTGGTTGGGAACTGCAACCAAGCGATTAGTCTGACTGCAAATGAGTCTTAATGTACAACAGATTTTAAAGGCAGTCGTTGAAGGGAAGTGGTTGAACTAAATGGAAGGGGTGAGAGTAAAGTGCTCAGTATCGGGGAACATGTTGGATAAACTTCAATGACATTTGTTACAGTCAGGGAATTATTGAAGTCAATACATTTTCAGATTTTAATGAGAAATAGATTTTTTGTTTTTTCTATCTCTGTGTCTCTTCCTCTTGGTTTTTCAGGTTTTTATGCCTCCGCGCCACTGACAGCTGTGGCCGGAGGCATTATGTTTTTGAGTTGTCCGTCCGTCTGTCCGTCCGTATGTTCATTTGTCCATCTGGTCCATTCTTGTAAACGCGATATGTCAGTAACTCCTTGAAGACATTACTTCAAATTTGGCACTTGAACTCAAGGATGAACTGATTAGATTTTGCATGTCAAAGGTCAAGATCATTCTCGTAAACACAATATCTCAGCAACACCTTGAGTGCATTTCTTCAAATTTGGCACAAACATCCATTTGGACTCAAGGTTGAATTGATTTGATTTTGGTGTTCAGAGGTCACTGATACCTTTTGATCATAATTAAAGAATTCATATACTAATCATGACAAATTTCCAATAAGATAAAATGATGACATTTGGGAGAGACATGGATGTAAACAGCAACACGACTGGTTGGTGGAGGCAAACAACCGCAAGGCAGTAACCCTAGCTAATAATATAATAAGAATCATTTCAAAAATGCAGTCACATTGAAATGAGAGGTACAAAAAAAATGAATATGAAATGAAGTTTTTACTTTTTGCCACCATTTTCCTCTTTCCTGACAGCTTTGCCATGTGACTTGAGGTGACCTAAATAGAAAGGTCATTCAGTCAGAGCTGGCATGAAATACAACTACAGTTCAGTGAATCTGGAGCTGACAAGTAGCCCTGGGTGTCCTAATGAGATCAAAAGAGTAAATTAGCACGTCAGATATAATCTCTGAAAATAATAGAAGTATACCAGTTTCTGTTTTTTTCATTAAAGACGAAGAGGCGAAGGTAAAGGGTAAGCTAAACAAGTCTATGCTCGCCTCCTTTTCCCAGCTCTATTAGGTGTGTCAGAGCTGTGTTACTCATACTGTCTCACAGTTAGAAGGACAATGTTTGACCAGTTACCTTGTGTTTTGGAAAACATGTGATAGGGCATGAGACATATGAAACAGGTGCTTTGTGGTCTGATTAAAAACAACTGTCTGGTAGGATGTGAATGTTTAAATGTTACATGTTTTTTCCAACTCATAAATGTTTTATAATAACCTGTATACATGGTTTACCTTGACTGATACTTCATTTGTAAATGCTCATAAAATGACAGTCAACTTTAGATTGGATACTTAAAGGAATGCCTCATCCTTGAAATGACCATTTGTATATCAGTTAGTCACTGCACGTTACCTTGAATCCTAAATCCTTGAGTAAATTAAGTCAATGGAGGGCAGGTTTAAAAACAGCAAATCTTTCGCCAAAATGTTATGAGCATACTACTGGATAAATGAGACTTGGATTACACTGCACTAGTTGAGAGAGAGTTTGTAAATGGATATGTGAAATCCATTTTTGCTGTTGTTAAACCTGGCCTCCATTTAGTTGAATTCAGCGAGGATTTACTCCCTTCACAGCTTTTTTTGCTGGCCGTGGAGGCATGTGAGAAAAACACAAGTTTTCTTCAAGAATTCAAGGTTACACACGGTGAGCTTTTGATACAAATGGTCATTTTGTGGGTGAAGTATTCCTTTGAGATACTCATCTGACAAGCTCTAACTCAGCACAGTTGGCCAGAGGGGGGGGCCTCAGCTGACGATAAAGGTAAAGAAAGTGAGTGAGAGGTGCATGTGTGTTAATAGCTCACGGCTGCCAAAACAAAGCCCTGCCATGTGACTGACAGAGTGACAACATGAAAGACAGTCGTGAGAGAAGGGACAGAGCAAATAACTTCCAATCAAAGCCTCAGACGGAGGAAGGTTGATGTCTCAACCGTGTTCAACCGGTCATCAAAGACACTCAACATCCACCGCCTCTTGCTCCCTCCACCCCAACCTCCCTCTCCTTTTCTACCTCCTCCTTCTGTTATATACACTCTCTCAGGGCCAAGCGTATAAGCTACGAGTAACTGAAGGCAGTTAAAGTCAACCGCTGAGTGGCCATGAGCCACCAGGTTGACAGATCTGGTTTAACAGGTTCTGAGGGGAGAGGCTGATACTTGTTTAACCGATAGGTATGGCACACTGCTGCTGCTGATCCTCTTTATCATGCAGTCTGGCCTTTGTGAAACACTGGTTTCACCTATTGACCTCCAGTGCTGGATATATGGCTATAGTCTAATGCAGCACATAGGAGAAATGTTGGGGCACTATATCATATATATTGTTGTGGATTAAAAATTGATACTACTCATGAATCCAAATCTATGTGTCCAATGCTAATGCCCAAATGTGTTTCATTCAACACTGGTTTGGTGTTACTATGGCTAAGACACAAGCTCCTGAAACACCTAAACACACGGGCCACATGAATCAGCAGGAACTGGCTTGGCAAGTGATGATTAAGCAACCTTCAGCCATATGCAAATCTCCTCTGCAATTTTAAAACATAACAACTTGTTCCAACAGACATTAAAGGAATTGTCTGCGGCGTGAAACTTGCAGCACTGACTTCCAATAGAAGAAATACATCCTTGAAACTAGATGCAGATCGACACTTTACGTTGGGGCCCACCTGCTCAAAAGGTAAGAAATAGGAAAGAGAAAGATTGAGCAGGCTCTTGGAGCAATCAGTATATGTTCAAAGTTTTCTATGTTCAAACGTAGAAAGCCATTTGTCTGCTCTCAGCTGTGCATCTTTGTTCATCACATGATGTATTTTTGAGGTCTCTGCCCTCGCTGAGCCACACAGCGAGGGCAGAGAAGCTAAGTGAGAGCAGATAATGATAGCTACTGTTCCCATTAGTTTGGGGTTTTTCTTTGCCGTTTATTAATAGGAAAATATTCCAACCCATGACTTAACAATCATCTGTGAAACGCTGCTGAAAAGGGGGCAACAGAACAATAGTTCACAAAAATGTGTGTTTTTGATGGGGCCCAGGCAACATCACCGACTCACTGAATCAGGCTCGAGTCTTTCATTTTATTTTTATTTTTTTCCTGAAACTTTAAAACAGGTTTTTTTTTTTGTTTTTACATATTTTCAAAAAGGTATATCATGCCCACTTCCTAAACTCTACTCGATAAAAAACTAACCCATTTATAAAAGTTAAAGACATTATCATAAAAAGTGAAACCATACACCAGAATGATACCATTATTTACACAAGCCCATTAAATTACAACATAAATTAGAAAATATTTACATCCAGGACGAGACACTGGATAAAATTCTATGTTTGGAATTTAATGTCTAATTAAAATTTTCAAAGAAAGAAATATATACATTTACACACACATTCTCACAACAAACATGCACTCTGGCAAGACTGAAGTGGTTGGTAGGTGGGTGGTAACTTGGGGTTTTTAAATACTAAGAATGATGAATACCTAACGTGGTCACAAAAAGAGCGCTGCCAGGTTTAAAAGATAGAGTAACAATGGATGCATTGCTGCCTGTAATCCACATGAACACTGAAGAGGCTGTAAAGTCTCTGGTTTCTGACCAAAAACAGACCAGAAAACCAAAAAATCATCTTTTCTCATTTCGGCCTACATAAGATTCAAATGATCTTTCATGAATAAAGCACAATAACACTGGATCCATTTTGAAGTGGTCGTACAAATCAAGCACAAATAAAAAGAAAGAAAGAAAGAAAATGAAGTGGATTTTCTTCTCCATCTTTCTCATATAAAAATTGTCCTTTGCAAGTCCATTGAGACACAGGAAATCAGAGGATTTGCCTCCAGACGAAGGGGAGAGGGTGGGCTGAGAGGAATTCACAGCCACAGCAACTCATCTTGAAATGATGTCCTTTAGATGGAAGGAAAAAAAAACAAAAAAAAAAAACAGTATACACTTTGTTCTTTTCCTCCTCTTGTCAACAGGGAGCAGGTCCGATAGTCGTAGCATCAGGATATTGACAACTAAATGAAACTGCATGGTGGTTAGTATGATATGGTGTGTTTAATGCCCTCACAAGGTGGGCTCCCATTTGGACCGGATCACACAGGCGTTCATCGTCGGTGCTGATTTGCAGCCACAGTGCACACACACACACACACACACACACACACACATCTCTCAAAATGACAATACTTATCAATCAATATTGATTTTTTTTTAGTTTTCTTTTAAATCCAAAAAGGGCAGACAGGGCGGCAAGATTAAGGGATTCTGGGGTTCATAAGGATTCTCCTCTGAGCTCTCATTTCCTGTGCTTGTCCATTTTGTCTGCAGATTTGCTTCCACTGTCTGAGGATCCCTGGGTGTCGCTACCAGAGCTCAGGTACATCTTGTCCACTTGTTTGAGTGCCTCGTTCAGGTAGTTCTGAAGCGAGGTCATGGCGGCGCAGATGGCCGGAGAGCCAAAGCCATGAGTGATGAGGCTGAAGTGGGTCAGGCAGCCTTGGATTCCAGGCTCCATGATGGGGGCCGGCCGAGAGTTGCCCAGAGGTGAACGGTCCTGAGTAAGCAGGTCAGTGAACTCCTTGCAGATTTGCCTGTTGGTGGAAAACAAGAATAATTTAGGAAGAGGGAAAATACTCACGCTAACACATGTTCTGCTTCAACATGAGACTGCAGGAAATTAAGTCTGCAAAATTCTCCAGTACTCAATGAATGTTATAGCACCAAAAAGGTTCTAGTTAAGGTATATCCTACTTTGCTTGAGGTGTATTTCCTTGCGAATGAAAGGCAACCGTACAGACAAGACACTCACTTGGCAGCTAGGAGCATGTTCTTGCGAGAGTTAACCTCGTTGCGCTCCACGTGCGGCCTGCCCAGGTATTCAGCAATTGCCTTTGCAGGGAACTCTGTCTCACACACGTATCCAAAGTCTCTTGCTAAATGAACAGCTTCACCTAAGAGAAGAAAAACAAACCTTGTAAGAGAAAAGGAAAAAATCGTCTCTAAACCAAAGATACGACCGAAGTTGACACTTGGCTCTTGGTCTCAAGCCAAGACTTTCTGTTTATGAAAGAATGAAGATTATTAATATTTACACTGCATGTGCTCTGGCGCACTGGGCAAAGATCAAGTGGTAAGCTGGCCCGGCTTCAGCAATTTATCAATTTAGAGCATTACAGGAGTAGCACCGTTTTGGACCCGATACACACGAGCATCAAGGAACATGAAGTGAAGCAGTTGAACTACAGAATAATCAGCTGTGCTCAGTGCTCTAGCTCGGGGGAAGAAGAGCTAGTGAGATGAATATATTTCCGTCTTGAGGGTGGTTTGACTTGCATGGTCATAATGGGCTTATGTGGATAAATGCTAGCAGAGAGTGCCCACGGCGCCTACAGCTCCGCTTATTGATAGACACGCACATTACTTGAGGATGCGGGCAGCTATTCAGAAGCACAATCTTTAAGGTCAGCAGGCCCTCCTGGCGAGTCGAACACAAGATAACAAGGCTTAATTCAGCTTTGAAGGTCTCTAAATAACACGAGCCTCCAGTCATTCTCCTGCACAGAATCACCATCCCATTTATAAGAATTAGGCGTGTTAGGGAGCGAGAGAGGAAAAAAAATATTCTACCTCAGCCCCGCGGCAGGTAGATGTGATTAAAGTGATAACGTTTTCATGGTGAAGCGTCACTGTCTGGCTATGACTGAGGTTTTAGTATTCACCGCATTGACAAGGAAAGGTGAAGGTGTCGCGTTCATCTTTACAACCACATAACTCCCTGATGTTGAATAACTGAAGTTCTGTGGTGAGACAATGCATCAATGTACAGTGCCGTGTACTGTTAAATACTAAAATCATAACAGTGGTAGAGTTGGTGCTGAGCTGTTCTGCTGCACCATTAGTGTTCTGCAGACACTAAGTTGAGAATATCAAGGACAACCAGCTTGCCTTCAAAACAACTCTGATTTTGGACTAAACGGACAGAATCGCCATGGGAAGAAAGGGACAGCTGACGTGCAGCTGTGCTAATGAAACAAAGTTGCTCGAGAAATAAAATGTTGCATTGCTTGTATTGCCTTTATGTCAATGGAAAATGTTGGGAGAATGGCTTGAGATACCGTGCGGTGCTTTAAAAAACACACATACTGCGTGAATGAGATCGACGTTCTCACTCGTAGAAGGCGACATTCCAGCCGCTGCAAACAGCAATTACGTGTGAGATGGTGCAATGCACTACTGAGTGACATGTCATACCTTCCACTAGTGAGGTAAGTAGTGTGACATTGGCTGCCTTCCTTCTTCCTGCAGGCAGGTTGAGCCCGATCTTATCCAACTTTTCTCTCAGAGAGCGACCTCCATTTTTTGACTTGGCTCTGCAGAAGAAGAACACAAAAATGCATGTTATATATTTAATATAAATGTTATTGTCTACAGAAACCTGTGATTATGAAATGAATATGGCATTTGAATTCTCTTCACACATAATATTTTGTTGATTGGCATCTGGTTCAGGGCATTAAATTAGGAGGAATAGATTTGTGTGATTATTGTGCTGTCAGCTAAGATCTAGAGATAGCAGAACGTACTGCAGACGCAACCCGTCAGAGGAGGTCTTGCACTCACTCCTGCAGAAGTTCTCATTGTGCACTCGCGATAACAAATAAATCACACAAACAGGCTCTCCTGACCCACTCAAAAAGCGTAGCAGAGAAAATCACTCGCACACGCAGAAACACTTATACTCTCCACTTGCAATGGCCGATTCGGTTTTACGCATGGCTGGAGGGCAAGCTCCCCCTCTCCGTGGCGGGTGAGAGAGGGAGCATCTTTAGGGAGGCATGTGTGTACGAGCGCCCCCACCCCTCCTGCTAACGATCCCCCTCCTAGTGCTATATGACCTACTTAAAAATGTCTGATTGCGCGCGTGTGTGTGTGCATGTCAGCATTAACACAGGCACATGGGAAGTGGCAAACGTGCACTCCAAGCACAAAATGCTCCGGTCAGGGGTGTTACATGCAGTAACATCACAGTCCCTCAACAGACTGCCACACTAGCATATGTGCCATAAGGTCAACTGCGGTGCCACAGATAAACCTACCCATGCTGCAACCCCTGACAAACACCCAAACGCACACACCCACAGTCTTAAGATTGGTACTAACTGTGTTGATGTAACCTATCCCCAGAGGACGCAGAAAACCAAAATTGCAGACCACACAAAGAATGTCACGAACCGTCCGCAAAAAAAAAAAGAAAGTGATGAGCCAGAGCAACTGAGCCAAGCTGTGCTTTTAGAAAAGCCTTTCACATGGGCTGCTGAGCTTTAGTCTACAGATCTCGAGGGCTGTTACTCCTCAGTTTGACGATTATTCCTATCCGAGGCAATCGGACAACCTTACCAAGCATGCAGGTAATAGAGATATTGATAAAAATAAGGAGCATATGAATTATGTTGGAATTAGGTTTTCTTGTTTTTTGTGAAGCGGTGCTACTGTATTCATGCGTTATATTGAAGACTTTAACAAAACAGCAACAGGGAAATATTATCAAATCCAACTTGCTGTCATGTTGAATGAGTCTGAGCTCTGACCTGCGTAAAACACCTCCCAGGAGCGATGCGTTGAGGCACTCAGGGGGTGACAGACGTCTCTGGACCTCGGCCACGGTAACCTTGTACTTGGAAGTGGAGCTCAGCAAGGAAAGGCGGCCCGGTACGGAGCAGAATACCTCTGTGGGGTTTGATATCATGCCCAGCAGGGACTCTTTCTGGAAAGGAAGACCCAGCACGTTGCCTTTGGGTAGAGTGACAGGCCCTGGAGGGTGGGGGGGGGGGGGGGAACAAAATATGGGTAAACTGAAGAAGTGGAGAACAACAAAGGAAAGGCAAAAAGATCCTGGTTGTGCAAAAGAATTTGTTTATATATGCACTTTTCCTGTGTATGTACATGAACTCATCTAATCCTTTCTGTGCAACAGGGAATCTGTGTTTTCTTGTATGTAATCACAAGGAAGAGTGTGTATGGAGCTCTGCACGACTGACAAAACCAGCGTCTGCTGTAGGAAAGACTTTGGAAATATTGTGTGGTTTTCCAAACATTGTTTGCCTGATGGTTAAACATCTGAAATGCCCTCATGCCAAACACCATCCACAAACAGATGCACACATACAGCCCCTCATCTAAGCCACAGATATACCTCAGTCCTGTTTATTTATTGGTCTCAAAGGCTCTAGGTAGACAATGTGTGTGTGTTTTTTCTTGCTGGTTCTAAAAGTTTGAGGAGGTTTTTACCCCCCCCCCCCCCCCCCACAAAAGCAGTGACAGTCATCGGACAAACAAAACAGTACAGCACAACTACAGAACATAGCTATCTCACCCGCCAGAATTCCCCCCTGATAATAAGTCCTCTGTAAGCGATCAAGGTTCCTGCCACCTCGTAGTCCTAATACTGAGACAAAAATCACAGAGTCACATCAGTGCTTTACGGCTCCGCCGGGGCACATGGCTGGGAGTGACATGCCATCGTTTACAAGTGGAAAACCTACATTGCCCATAGCGTGCCCTTGAGCATGGGAACATAATAACGAGCCATCACATATTTCTGTATAGCAAATGGAGAATACTTGGTTTATTGCGCTGTGCTAATGGCTTTCTGCTTGTAACTATGCGTCGTATGATTGCAACAATATTTGCTATAATGATTAAAAAAACAACAACACAATATTCACTGTACAATATCACATAAATGCCATCGTATTAACCCCACCGCTGTGATCTTTGTCAGGCATGATAATGAGAAACTAAAGCATGAGGTTCACATTTTGAAATGAAAGGTAAAACCTGTATTTATATGCTTACATTTTATATAATGATGTTGTACATTTTTGCCGAATCCATCTATCTATCTGCCTGTGTATGGTTTGAATAAATGTAGAAAGAAAGCTAAGCAGCAGAACAATGTTGCTCAAGCTGATCTCTGACTCAAAGTCTGTTTAATGAAGCCCTGGTGACAAAACAGCGGGAATAAGTTCTTCCTCAAAAGAGTTCATGTCCTGACAAATAACTAAACTGTCCTTCACATGCAAGCCTAATGCCACACCCCGCCAAAAAGCTGGTTCTGCAGAGCCAAACACTGCTTCAAGATCAACTCATAATTTCCTGTTAACGTGAACTGAAAAGAGCTGCAATTGCAAGCTTAGTCAGCCTAAAGGTGATCCAAAGCTTTCCTCTTCTCTCACAGTCAACACCGAGGGTTGTGAGATTGCTCAATTTTCATGTCTTGTCAGCTAGAGTCTGTCGTTTTTTGAAAGGGATCAGTTCTTTCCCACTGGGCATCCATTCAAGCACCTTCACCAACAGAATAGGCTAAGGATCACAGCCAGCTTAGATAAGTGCATCTCATGGCTGTGAGGATTATCAGTGTATGCAGTGCAAGTACAAATACAACACTCCTCTTTTGCTGTACTGAATGCCCTGACATGCCACTATATAGCAATTGTTATGACAATTCCAAGTATGTAGAGAGAGGAAAAAAAAAAAAAAAATACGATCCTTACAGTAAATTCCCAGCCCTTGCCAGTAATTACTGCATATTTATTTGGTTGAACAAAGACAAATGTACCCCAGGCAGCATTTCCTTAAAAGGTGTTTGTTCTTTTTTTTCGTTTCAAATTAAGAGAGAACTGGGGGTAATTGTGTTTTTGGACTAAAGATTAGATTAGTCAAAAACATGCAATAAACTCACCTTTTTTGATGACTGTCTGGTCTGCCATAATAACACTGTGGTCATCTACATGCTGATAAAAAATAAAAAGAATAGAAGCAGCATTAAGCAATTGTTTGTATTGTTTTGTTTTTTTTAAACACCAATTATAGACACATAGCAAGTTGAATTTAATTTCTGTCAAAAATATTCAATGTCTATCTAAATTACTCTCTTTCAAAGAAAATAATGTAGCTATAACGAGAATGGCAGCTATATTAAGGTAATTAATTAATTATGGTATGGTAGTGGTGATCTTTGATTGTTTTTCTGACCTCTTATGTGATCATGTCCCTGTTTTATATACAATAACCTAAGTACTTTCGTTTTATTGTACGCTTGGATGGTATCCCAAAATGTATTATGGTATTTGGCTATCTGTTTCAGCAAGTACAACTCAGCACATGCAGTGTGCACACATGGGCACACACCTCAGGGACCTCCACACCTTATCGCCTCGGTGCAATTTCAAGTACTCGTCAATTATATCCACTCACTTGAACATCCTCCAGTCCGTGCCCCATGTCGTGCATCCCCATGCTGTCCCCAATAACCGACGACTCTATGCTGTGCACGTGTGGGGACAGCAGCTCAGGCCGGCGGAAGCCTTCCCTCCTCACCCCGGACGAGCCCTCCAGGCCCAGGATTTGACTCGCCAGTCCGCTCCTCCCGTGGGCACCGAGCCCCTCCTGGCCCTGCCGACCGGGCCATTGCTGCTGGTTCGACGACTGCGACTGGTGTAAGGAGTTGATGTTGAAAGGGTCCCCGAGGTGGGAGTAGGGGTCACTGGACTGCGGGTAGGAGATGGGCTGGTAGGGAGGCGGGAAGTACGGGGGCTGGAAGTCCGAACTGGCCGAGTGTGAGAGGGAGGAAGACGGGCTGTAGAGGTGCTGACTGACCGCTGGCAGGTGGGGCAGCCGGGGGTTCCCATTGCTGTTGCCGTCGTGCCTTTCCTGAGGGACGGAAGATACAGGTCAACTGATATAGCTGACAACAAAATTGCAGGTAGTGGTGACATTCATCCCTCAAGGGAATCAAGTGTGTGTTGACTATGACGGCATGATGTTTACTAAAGATAGCCTAATGGTTTTGAGACGAGCGTGAATATATGTAGATTTTGCATTTAAAATGAACGAATATTGTATTATTATGATTAGTATTATTATCATCATTATTAGCGTGTAGAAGGCTACTGTATTATTTGAATTGAATTGGTTATTGAATTATTGGATTGAAATATAACAATGTTCTCCCGTGTTAGTAAAGACCCAAATTATTGGTACTTTTGGAAAATATGTTTTCTTTTTATTATTATTATAATTATCATTATCAGTTGTATCACTGTTGTTGCTGTTATCGAAATAAGTATTGTTCATTTATTCAGAAAAATGTTTTTCTTTCACAGCTGGCGTCTCAGCTTTTATTCAGAATTGATCGAGGATTTCCCTTTCATCTTCGTTTATCTTATCATTCACATTAGCATATGATTAAAAAAAACAAATAGTCACCCTCGTCGTTGAATGGCAAACTTTTGTTACATGTCAATCAAAAGGCACGTATCCCTCGTTTTGGAACTATCGAAACTCACCTCGCAGTCATCCTCGTACTTCACGTTGTCGGCTAATTTCCACAACATTCTGACAGAGAAAAAAAGTCTCTCTGCTACAAAAAAAAAATCTGGAAACCAAAAAAAAATCTTGTCGTCTGCGAGTTAATCCAGATATGAACAAATCAAAAGCTTCCTGGTGATCATGTACCACCTTGTTCTTCGGCTGCTGCGAAGAGGCGAAGTTGTGAGTGAAGGCTGAAGGGGCGAACTGACCGACCGACCGACTATCCAACCACAGACGTGAGTTCCCAACAGCCACTATGGGAGAAAATAATCGTTGTCGAGCGATATCTCCCCCCCCCCCCCCCTGTCCGGTCACTCTGTTCGGTAGTTCTGCTGTGGAAGTGGGCGAAAACGGGGCAACTAAGAAACTTGACTCCCTCTTATGGACAAAAAAAGCGCTGTTCAGTCTTATTGGTGCACACGTTAGCACTGAAGGCTACTATATCTGCACAGCCGCTCCGAGGGGGCGTCACCCCCGCGCGGTGATGTCAGTGAAAGAGGAAAATGAAAATATTGCTGATTGGCGGGACATCGGGCCAATCAGAATTCTGTCCGTCTGTGAAGCGTCAGACATGTAAACTCATTGACTTTACCAGAGGAAACTTGTCGTGGCTTTCAATCTCTCATCACCTACTCGTGTGTTTTACCGTGTTTGTTTTTATCTCGTCGTGCCCCACCAGTGACTTGAAGCCAGGGCTTTTAAACGTGTAGGGGGACACCTGTAGGCTCAGTTTAGGATTATATTCCTTTACAGACATTCTCATAGCCAGCTGAGATGATCGGTAGCGAGGATATTCAGAATTACAGTTCTTAAAATATTCCTCCAATCATTAAAAAAAGAACACATTTGCTGAGTAAAAAAAAAAAGAAGCTTTAATTCGGAGTGACATACATTTTGTGTCAGAACTAACACAACTCAGATTGAGTAGTGTTGCAGGGTTGGGTTGCTAGGTTACAGAGTACCTCATGGTGAGGTTATGACGCTCAGGGATGCCTCTCGGCCAATCACAGTGCTCGGTTCGAGATGTTCTGATGTTTTGACGGCGTTCTTAATTTAACAATAGAAGAAGAGAAACGGTATGTTCTGTCTATTATAGTGTAAGAATAGGCTCCGTGTTTTCAGAGTTTCTAAGTAAACAAAACCTATTGACCTAGTACTGATGTTTAAATATGCAAATCATATACAAATAACTTCAATATTTGAAGTATTTTACATGTAAGGCCTACTAAACTGATCGTCATCCCTGTTTTAGAATTATTATCATTATTATTATTATTCGCAGTGGTGATATTCGCATATAATGTAATCAGTACAGTACAGTATAAAATAATAGCTTGACTAAATGCTATTATTATAACTTTTGTTGCAAATCAGCAGCAAAGTTAATGCAACTCTCTGATTTAAATGCATGATTCGAATAATAGTCATTCAAATAAACCCATGACATTGTGATGTCGGTGTTTCACAGTGGTGGCTAAGTGCTTGTTTCAAACCGCAATAAGCCCGAGGGGTGTAGCAGCATCATTCTCTGAAAAAAAAATCTAAAGCTCAAAGGATCTCAACAAACAACTCTTTCTTCACTTCATTTACATTTTTGGTGGAGCTTTCCAATGTCTAAAACAAGGCTGCTTTGAAGCTCTGCATCAAATCCCAAAAGTGAGAACAAAATATGTTTATTTTCCTGTTTTTTTATTTATTTATTTATTTATAACGACCTAACTGTCCATTATTTTGTTACGTTTCAGTCCATTTTATTTTAGTTGCTAGACCTTCAAAAATCATTACAAAATATCTCCCTCCTCAACAGAAAATAGTGTGGGCAACTGTATAGGCTATATATGCAGTATTTTGACTCATTCCATTAATTTGTTTTGTATCATTTGACAAGTTCTAAATGTCAGATTATAATTTGTGTGATTAATGGACAGACCTTTGTATTTTAGGGTAACAGCATGTGGCGTCCGTGCGCATTTAAACTGCGATGATCGGCTGTGCATGGGAACAACAGGACGTGGACTGCTGAGGATTATCTTTTTTGTTGTTGTTGCGTGTTGGTCCTTGGCTCGTTGTGATGCGAAGCAGAAGTGAAATGCGCGCTGATTAAATGTTATTTTACGTCGGTGGAGACGCAGAGCAGACCTAAAGGGAGTTAGTCACGCTTGGCCTGACGGTGATGTTTTGAACAAATCTGATGCTCAGCTTGTCATTTTAATAACAGTTGACTGCAGTGACTGCCGGCTCAGCTGATGTCAGGTGTAAAGATTAAATGGATCCATGTCGGGACACGTTGGAAATGTCACGCAAATCAATAAGTTCTGCTAAGCGATTTTTCAATTGGTTTGCTATATACACAGAGGCAATATGGTATAATACATCATGTTTTAAAGGCTGACTTATGATGTATATATTCACAAATAAGGCAGTATGACATGCAGGTTCTATTCATATACTGTAAATTATTTACTTTATTTTATACGACCTATTAAGTGTATTAAAGTACGTTTGCATTACTCAGTGGTACTGACTAACTGCATTTGAATAATTTATGACATACATATGTTCCTGCAGAACTCGTATATACTTTTATAATTCAATAAAATAAAATAAAAAAATCTGCTGTGGTTATCTTGTTGAAATCATGAAAGAGAAATATGGCTAACTACATATATATATATATATATATATATATATATATATATATATAAATATGTAGTTAGCATATATATATATAAATATGTAGTTAGCATATATATATGCAACTGCTTTTTAATGCAGTTGCCTCAAACCAAATTAGTTTTTGAGAGAATAAGGCCTTATGACATTAATCACGGGTTATTCAAAAGCTTATACGGCGCCGCGCCATTACAAACAGGTGATTCTGGTGGAAAGTAGTAAAACAAATACAGGCTCAGCAACAAAAGACGATAAACGTGATGCAGGTTGGGTTAAACTCAGCTGTAAGAGAAAATAACTCACCCTCCAGTCTATCCTCTCCAGTACAGACATCTGCAAGGCTCAAGTCACAGCAATCCCACTGAGACGCAGCGAATGAGTGAAACCATGAGGTTCACGTTGCCAACTTCACCTGACAGTCGTGCAGTGCGCATGCGCCTACCCATGTAGTACACCTGAGTGGGATAAATCAAAACAATCCATCTATAGTTCCTCGACGAAAACACGCATTTAAGATGTTTTATTAGAAAAACAACGTGTGTATTAACATTGATTAATGTGAGAAAGGGAGCGCGCAAATGTATTTAAGTCTTGTTTTTTTTTAAATAAAGTAAGCACGACCTACCAGATTAGACCTATAGCCAAGATATTATTGTTAATCTAATAATCATCTGCTATTGTTGAGCAAAAAAGAAACAATGTCATAGAGGGTAAAGTGTAAGAAAAGGTGAAAATAAGACGTGGGGAAATGTCAAGATGAGGTAATTCCACCCCCAAAGCCACGTCGCCGCAGGCTGACCAAAAGAATCTGCTTTCAAAAGCCTCTGAAGCTTGTTAAGGCCTAAAATGGCTGTTGTTATCTGATCTCCCAAATACTTTAGCTTAAACTAATGAACAGATCAAAGTGTCTTCGATATGTGCTTGAGAATGTATAGCTTACATATCTTGTTCTGAGAAAATAATCTTACCTTTCTGATCTGCAGCCAGGACACCTGCCATAAAATAAAGTATCATCAAACAATATAGTGTCAAGTATTAAGGAAATATAATGAAAGAGACCATGCGTGCATTAGGCCTATATTCAGATTGTCTTAAAAAACACATATTTTAATTCCTATTTCCAATATCTATGGATGTATTAATTGCAAAAGGCCAGCTGTACGATTTTTAGTTTCTTGAGCAAAACACAATCAGAAAATCCAACTGCAAATAACGATGGGGCTATGATTTCCAACTTAATTTGAATTCAAAATATTTATGATATCTTAATGAATTCAAATTCACTATGAATGTTAAATAAATGTTACTGCAATTCATTACAAATCTGCATTCATCCCGGCAAGTGCAAACATTCAGAACAAATCTATGCGTCCAACTTTTTTTTTTTATGCCGATCACATTCTCTCCTGCAGGGTTTGGTAAATGTATCATCGTAACAATGTCATATATTCACATCAGAAAATATATCTTGGTGCTCCCAAAATTATGGGGCCACAAAAAGCCGAGTATGAGCTTTGAATAAAATGCTACTTAAATATATAAAACAAACGACAGGGCTGTTAGAAAATACAGCTGTCTCTGCTCTTGCGCAAAGACAACGACTTTCTTTGGTAACTGACAATAGGTCAATTTAAAAAAAGAAAAAAACTTACATGAGCTTATGTGGTTCTTATTATTGATGCATTATTTTCCAGTAAACAACCTATTCAATGATCTAATGTGCGCAGGAAAATATAAATCAACACAACTATAAAAACATGGCATCCACTGCTGCTGGATGAAGACAAGAGGACGCAGTGTTTATTTAAATTTTTAGCCACAGTGATTGGAATATTTATGGTGTAACTTACATTTAATGAGAAGCAGGCAGACTCCCCTTTGTATGTTCTTTTTTACCCTGCGACCGCAGTTCATGTCTGTAAAATCACAGGGTGCGATAAACACTCTGCTGCCGCCTTGTGGCCGCATCATCACATTACCGCAGAGTTAAACATCAACCAGTCTTTTAGTTCAGTAGAACTTGCTACGTGTTAAATATTTTACAGATGTCTGGACTGTGACTGGATTCTAAACTGGTTATGTCACACATTCCTGCTCACATACAGGTGCACCTACTAAACAGAGAAAAGAGAAACGTCCCCTCTTCAATGTGAAAGCTGCCTTCTGCACATACATCATTCTGCCCAAGTGAAGTAACACGAAGAAAAAGGCATTTCTGACTAACAATGTATGTATGTAATGCATTACTTCTACTTGAGATTTTTTGTAGTTTTGCCACTTTTACTGAAGTGAAAGATGAGAATCGGCTACTTCCTGCACCACTGGGCTATCTGTTCAGAAGCTGTTGTTTTGATCTCCTGTGTCATTAGAGGACAACTGCGCAAGACCAAACAGTATGTGTGACTGCAACCAAGCAACAGATGTCTGTTTTAGTAATATTCATACGGAGTGAGATGTTGCCAACTGGTGGTCCCAATCAACAACGTGAACAATGAGCTTCACAACGGTTGCCATTTTCACACCTCGTAAACACATGTAAGTGGCAGTACTTAATAAAAAGCTTATTATAACTTGTTTTTGGGTGTGAATTTTGCCTTGAAGGGCACAGAAGGGAATTGTCGCATCCATCATTAAAGATAATTAATGCTCTTCGTTGCACGTAGAATATTGTGTGACAAAGCTTTATATTCTGGGCAAACTTGTGCGTCTTACTTGTAATACAGGCTGAAAAAATACACAGCGAGCAAACAAAACTCAACAGGACTGAATATGAATTTATTTTTGGCATTTGCTTGTTACATGCAAATAAAGGAAAAAATACACAACTGTCCAATTGAAAACAGGAAGAACACATTTTGAAAAAAAAAAAAAATGTCTGAAGAAGAGTGTGTAGAAAATGTGATCATTCACTATATTTTGCTATTAAACTGGAAGCTAACATAACATATTTAGATATTTTTCATGTCAAACATCTTCCTTATGAAAAACAGTAAGAAGCAGTAATATTGAAGCGTGTGACACTCAAGAACAAAGAAGATCACTGTTACACAACAGCTGCGTATGTTTGTGGTTTTTCTGCTGCGTGCACTATTTCGTTGATCTACGAGTATCAGAAGCTTCAATAAATAAGCAAGATGCTTGAAATGGTCTTAATTCAACCAACGTTTCAAGAAAACAAAAACCCAATGTGATGAATACATATTACTTGAATGTCCTGTGCTCTGCGTTACATATTAAAGAAAGTGTGGCCAAGCTCATAATAAATAAAAGTCTGACCTGCTGTAGAGCTTTGACTTCTCTTTATCTCTCTTTAACTGAATAGTGGAATCAAGCCTTTGATCTGACGCCACTTTTTCTCTGATGAAGAAATCCCTTAAAAAAAAAAAAACCTGCACTCTGTCCACTAGGAGACAGCAGAGTGACAGAGGTAATAAAGTCACCCTATAGCATCAATTCTCAGAGCACCTGTGACTGGGAACACAGAGATGCAAGGAATACATGGGGGAGGAAGGTTACAAAACAAAGAGGCTGAACAGCTTGGGGAGCCATTAACTAAATGTTGACAACACGTAAACACTGAACTACTGGGGACTGAAAGACATATTGGGAAGGAGTACGCACATCGGTGACATTAGTAGAGGCCATGAGGGTAATGTCGGGGCTGGGAATGTAGAACTAGGTTCATCAGTAACGGCTCCTTAATGGGTCACGATTTCTGGAGCAATCTAAAAATGGTGATCTTTGCGATAGTTACTAGAAGTGATACGGGGTGTGGGTGACCCAGTTGGATGTCTGAGCTTTAGTGCGCTTGGCAGAGCTGTGGGTGGTGAACAGGGATTTGAAGACCTCTGACTTCTCGGTCATCTCCTGAACGGACCTTTTGGTGGTGGAAGACGTCGAAGACTTGCTGTCTGTAGCGGAGCCGGAGGGTCCGGAGGGTCCGGCACAAGCTAGGTGGTAAAATGGCAAATGACAGGGTAAACAAAACAGCAGGATGAAGATAAGAACAAAGACAAACAAGGCAAGAAAATTCATAAAAAGGAGGGGAATATGATTGTTGGTCATATTTAAACCTGCTTTTTTTCTCTGTTCTGATACAGTTTTATAATTGATGTTCATTTTGTTCTGTAATAAACAAATGATATCACTGGAGTAGTATGAATTCACTGAACAGATGAACTTTGAATGTGGGGGAGATTCCTTACAGTAATGTCAGTCCCTGTGTGTGTGTGTGTGTGTGTGTGTGTGTGTGTGTGTGTGTGTGTGT